CTGTCAGGGAACAGGGTTGATTGGATGGGGCAGGGGCCCCGGGTGGTGGAGGGGGCGCATATTGGGGGGGGGGTCCCGGGCCATGCTCCTCTCCCCTAACTGGCTGTCCATACAATTTCTGAACCCGATGCGGCCCTCAGGCCAAAAAGTTTGCCCGCCCCTGGTCTAAGTTCTGAAGCATGCTTAGTTTTAGTAGCCAGGATTGGTCCAGAAATAATGTATAAGATTTTTATAAATGGATAAAATATCTATAACAAATGAGTATCTACCTACAGAAAACTAAAAATCATCAACTTCAGTATTCAGAAAGGCATGTATGGCTTAATGCAGGCATAGAGCTGGGTGTGCTAATAATTTGGAGAAGTTAGTGCTTGAAATAGAAAGTCATATATAGAAAATTCATATCTGCTTGAAAATTTATGAGTACAATGTGCGACATCTGCATGCTGACTAATGACATAATTAGAGAAAATATAATTCTCCACTGCTGCATTAAATTCAGATTTCAGTATTCCCAGTGTGAAAATCCTCTGCCTTCCTGCAGGGGAAGAGGCAAAAAATCCCAGAGCCTCCTTTTCAATAGATTACAAACCTATTTCCATGTATTTGGAATTATCCCGAACAATTTTGAGGGATAAAATATAACACACTCTGGCAATAAACAAAACTCTCTTTGTAAAACCTGGATGCATTGTGGTCAAGGATAGCATATTAAATATGGCTTGGTGGAGAAAAAAGTTGTTCCAAAAAAAAAAAAATAGTCCGATAATTTTCTCCCATATTGGCACTATTGTTCCCAGGAAAAACCTTGCCTATACTTTTTCTGTATTTTTCCCATAGTGGCACTGCCTGGTTCATATGAAAATTATTTTTCTTTGTATTGTGTCTGTTGGCCCTAGTCAGAGATCAGGGCCCCATTGTGTGAGGCAATCTACAACATGTAACAAAAAGATGGCCACTGTCCCAGTGAACTTGCAGTCTAACTCTAGTGCCATGAATACAAGTCAAGAGTCAACTTATGGGTATATTTTAAATTTATGTGTGATTCTGAATTTGTGAACTCCTGGTCTAAGTTTGTTGATATGCTCTTATACAATTGGGTTAGGCCATCTCATGATGTGCTCCCTTTTACATATACAGCTCAAGGCTGTTCTCTGTTTTATTCCCCTCTGTGGTCTTTTGTGGTGAAATAAAGTTTTTTGTCTTCGTAGTTTGTGATTAGCATCACTACACACAGTGACATTAATCTATTTGATGGAAGCACAAATCCACACATTTGATTTAGTGCAGAGCTTTGCTTCACATAGTCGTCATTTCAAGATTCATACATACTTTTTTTTTTTACATTGATGCTTCAAAATATGTAACCGTTATTCTTGAAACATACCACAGCTTAGTATTTCTTAGATATAGCAAGATAAAACACACCTCTAGAATATAATAATTCTACCAGCAGACTGTCAAATTTGGAGCCTTCATTTAATTATTACAGATTTCCAGTATGTACCGAAACTGAATGGTTAAAATAGACATCCAAAAGGGGAAGTGAATGAAGTGTGGGACATTAGGGTTATCCCCACAAAGAACATTGAATGCTTGGTTATCTGCCCAGAAGGCAGACACAAAATAAACTGAACTTGTCTTTGTATTAAAATGCAAAAAAAAAAAAATGTAGAAGTGAAACATTTTGAAATTTGCTGGGGCTGTTTAATAAACTCTGATAGATTATATGAAACCATCAACTCAGATCTGGAATTTAACTGTAGCTGGTAGCCAAAGCAGTTTCTTGTTTCAAATACTTTCACTATCATTTTAACTCTATAATTGAATACATGGTTCTGGCTAAAATTCCTGCTGTTCTAAATTAGCTGTGACAGTATAAAGCGTTCCATATTTTTTGTATTAGATTTGAAGCAATCTGGTGGGTGTGCTCTTCCGTCCTTCATTTTTTTTGATTAAAATAGAGTAGTGAGAAATGAAATGAGTGTGCCTGCTTCAGAGATGAGAAGATTTTCGGCACTTCTCTTGAACAAAGACCTCATGGCTTTTTAAAATTATGAATAACTGTAAACATAAAGCTGAACCAGGGAGCACCTTCAGGATGCCTGGCCTGTTTAAATTTAGGAGCAAAGGGTGCTTGAGTGACCAGAAGCATGAGTTCTACTGACTTTTGTCTCTTAAATCACTTAGATGCTTTTGAAAATCCCACCCAAATTAAACTCAACAATGAATAAAACCTTCATTATAAGACCTTCTATTGAAACCAACTTCTGTAATGAAAGGCCAAAATACAAATTTTCTAACTTGTTCTTAAATCTTATTTTTACTGGGTATCCTGACAGTACTCTAATAATAGCAGCACATACAGACGACTTTCTTATTTCAAAGTGCTGTTCAGACGTTCATTTGTCACAACACCCTTATGAAGTAGTTATCTCTGTTTCACACTTCGTGGAAACTGAGAGGTTAAGTGTCATAACCAAAGCCACCCAGGAGATCAGTGGGGCAGAACCAGTAGTAAAACTGTTCCTGTTTTAGTCCCATCCTTGTTCCTTTAGATTATGTTACCACTAAGATTCATTTAAGAGATGTGAGTTTATTTTAAATGGTTTTTGTCACAGGCACAATCCTTGTATAATCTTCATTATTTCCAGCTTTTCCTGGTGGTTGCCTTTTCTTTTAACTAAATTTTACTGTTTCATAAAGCGAGTGATAGACAATCAAGCAGAGAAATTGAAAGAACTGGACAAAGAGATCCGCCCATTCCGACAGAATTGGGAGGAGGCAGACATCATGAAGAGCAGTGTGGAGTCCCTTCAGAATAGAGTCAGTGAACTGGAAAGCGTTGATAAAACTGCAGGACAAGGAGCTCGAAATACAGGTGAGTGTAAGCACACTGGAGTAAAGTACCACCCAGTAGCTACTGTAAAAAAACCAAATGAGCTATTTTGAATGTAACTGCCATTGTGATTTTCCTTTGAAAACATCAGTAACACTGATCCTTCAGTTTATTGAAAAGGAAATTAGGTGTGTAATCTTTTTGTTAAAGGCATGACATTTTCCTTCCCGGTTGTACCTTAGACTTCATTCCTATCTTACTTTGTTCTCTTGAACATAGTATTGATTACACTGAAAGTTAATTGCAAATATTTTCTCAGCTGGTCTTAAAAAGCTAATAGATTCTAGTAGCTTCTTTATAAAATATTTTCAGTGTATTGACAAGTATTTTTGGAGTAATATTGTCCCAGTGAACAGATCAGTTATTTTTATTTTTATTCACTTGAAAATATGCTTCCAGATGTCGATTTACAGTCTTTTATGTCTAGTACAGAGGAATGTTTGATGTGAAGAACACAATGAAATCTATTTGAATAATAAGGTCATTGCCTCACACATTGAACAAGGTGATGAAAACCACAAGTTAGCAGTACAGTGTAGACCATTCTTAAGGGTTCAGGCAATATTGTTTGGTTCAAAGACAAATTACTATGTAAAGATAATTTTAGCAAAAAACTGCCTCATGTAAGTACCTCTGCTAATCCACACTGCCTATTTTTGTTATCGTTGCCAGAGTGTAAAATACAAAGGAATAAAGTGATGACTATTATCTTCCATGAGAGGGGAAGAAAGGACCCATTAAAAAATGAACAAACAACAAAACCTTGGGGAGATGGGAGTACTTAGTACCATGTAGTGCAGAAAACTATTTATCAGTAATAGGACATAGCTTGAATTTTCAGCTTTTACTCATAATACATTTGCTGCTGATCCCCAATGAAGGATCAGGCAAAGATGAAGATTCTGAAACAGCCCACGGGTCTTCTTCATTTAAATGGGATCACATGAGTTCTGTCATCATTTTCAAAGGTTTCCACAATGATAAATCTATAGTTAATATTATTAGACTCTTGGCAAACAGCTGATTAGGCAAAAATGTCAAATTTTGTTTTTTAGCTATAGCAGTATTGCGTTGTGATTTGAACTATATTTATGCTGGATGTTTTGAGTGCTTGACATTTCTACCAAGTGTAGTGCAGTTCCCAACTTCCTCTATAATACAGTAAAATATCAGCTTTATAAAAGAGCCAATTAATATCATTGCTTGCTGGCAGTGGAAATTAATGTATGTGGCTAAATGTGAGTTGGTTCTTAACTTTATACTATTTTACTCTATACTATTATAGTATTGTGAGATTTATTTATTAAAGTTGTGCTATTGATTATTAATCCTATATATTTTTTTAAAAAGTTAAATTATTTTTTTCTCACAAACCCCCTCTCCATTTTCTACTAGCCGTACTAGAGACACAGCTAAGTAGACACGATCAAATGCTGAGTGTTCATGATATTCGGTTGGCTGACATGGACCTCCGATTCCAGGTGTTAGAAACTGCCAGTTACAATGGAGTATTAATTTGGAAAATTCGAGATTATAAACGTCGGAAACAAGAGGCAGTCATGGGGAAGACTCTGTCATTGTACAGCCAGCCTTTCTATACTGGATACTTTGGCTATAAGATGTGTGCCAGAGTTTACCTTAATGGAGATGGCATGGGAAAAGGGACGCACTTGTCACTGTTTTTCGTCATAATGCGTGGAGAATATGATGCCTTACTTCCTTGGCCATTTAAACAGAAAGTGACTCTGATGCTAATGGATCAGGGAGCTTCTCGACGTCACTTAGGAGATGCTTTCAAGCCAGATCCAAACAGCAGTAGTTTCAAGAAGCCTACTGGAGAAATGAACATTGCATCTGGCTGCCCAGTCTTTGTGGCTCAAACAGTTCTAGAAAATGGAACGTATATTAAAGATGATACTATTTTTATTAAAGTCATAGTGGATACTTCGGATCTACCAGACCCCTGACATATAAATGGGGAGGCAGTTAAACAGAAGACAACTCCATTTGGGGGTTTTCTATCAGTTTGTCTTCAATCAGAGGTCCTAAAGCACAAAGGACCACCTTGTGGAACAGAAGGAAGAGTTTGAAGGCATAACTTCATCGGGTCCAATGGCGAAAGTAGCAACACATTAAGAAATCATACCATGGTATATTTTCTAATAGAACTAGTAACACTTAAACTCTGAAGAATTATTTATCCCTCATGAGGATAATGATTACAGTCAGAGAGGCTTTTTTATTTAACTTATTAATCTAGTCAATTGGAGGTGAAAAGACATGTAAAGTATGTGCTGAATAAATTACCTGACTTTTCTTCATTTAGACTAGAATACAAAAAAGTTCACATGTGGGTTAGCTGGAAACTGTCAGCATGTTAAGTAAAAGAAGAAATGATGAAGTAATGTTGCAACTATGATATAATTATTTTGAAAAACTAAGTGCAATCGTGTCTGAAATATAGTATATTGTCTTTTTAAGGCCTCATCTGGTCTCTGTTTTAATAATTACTTTGTCAGAAGACCTTGAAAAATATCCAGGTCTTCTTGAAAGTATCTAAATCAGAATCATATTTTTATTTAAAGTTCTATTAATAATTGTTACAGAAAACATTTTATTTTAAAGCCGTTGATAGACTGATATTTCTTGGAAGAAAAATAGAAGATATCAAACACTGGTTATCACTTGTGATAAAAAAAGAAATTATTCAACTATTGATGTTATTTCTCTTTAGAAATGTAAACCTACAATATATGTCGTAGTTAATGACACTATTTCAAAATTAAGGAAAAATCACTCATGGATGCTGTGCATCATTATCAGATTTATAATTGTTTTAACCCTAAAATAGGGCATTTGTTGAACTTTGGAGTTCTAAACGGAATCCTGTACGCTTTTAAAGTTCTGCCTCATGCTTTCCAATCAAGCTATATATATTGCTGACAGCATAAATGTGCAACACCTAATATTTTCAGTGTGGGGAAAGAGGATTAGTGCTGAAAAACAGCCAGTCATGATCCTCTAAGTTCATTCTATACTAGCGATCATTGCATCTTATTAAGGGTATATGATCAGAAAGCAATGGAAAGATGATGGTGGCTTGCATGCATACATGTGCCTTAAATGTGATGTGCTGCTTATAAACCATAGCTTGGTATTTAGATTAATTATAATACCCGAAATGGTAGTTTTAACTGGACTTGAGGCAAAATGTGTAGCCTTGTCTTCAGAGCCCTTAGATAATTTGCAACATGCAGAATAGAAGCCAAAGTCCAGGTTTGGCTGCGAGAGCTTCTGTGGAATCCATCATGTTCAAGTGCCAAATTTGTATGCACACTGCTCCTATGGAGCTTGGACTTCGACAGTGCCCCTACGCTAACATGAAGGAAGATGTCGTGCTTCCTCCCAATCCTGTGCATGGAAGGTGGCAGCACTTTACATTGACTAATCTGAGAATTCTGAGTGGCTATTAATGTATACGCTCAATGCCCGGATTTCTTTGTTATAACTGCCTGAACTTCAGCAGCAAGCATTTCCCAGCCCTGAAACGTGCTGATTGCAACCCACTGTGTTTATCTACTTCTGCTTGTTAGTCTGGAAATAGAAAGTCCAATGGCATAACTTAACTATATACCAGCCATCTGGGTGCTACTTTAAAATCTGAGTGCTGCTTAGAGCTAATGGGAGAAGCTAATTAGTACACCTTTGTGCACATGAGAGGGAATTGTGCCGGTCGTCTTGACAGTCAGGGTTGTACCCATTCCGTTTTCCACTTTTGGGGGCGTAGCCACGATATTTACTTAGGGCTTAGTTGAATTCATGCCTTTATAGTTCAGCTTGTCTCTGTTGCCATTGTCTTTTATGGCTGTGCCTTCACAAACTGTGCCTGCAAGAAGTACTTTCCTGTTACAAATGTACAGTGCATGCTAAGTTGTCTTCATGGGTTTTCCAGGCACCTGCTAGAATACTGCCTGCTTCTTGGCATCCAAAACATTCCACAACAATCAGTCTTCCTGTTCTTGCCTTCCACTGTCTAGGTACTATATTCCTTTTATGGTACATAGGTGACAACAGGTGCAAGCTATTGTGCTAATGTTTCACTTTTGGCACAGAAGGAGGACTTCCTGCAGAAGATCTATATGGCACTTGCAGTTTTATGCAGGCAGCCTAAGTAAACCCATCACTTATGCTTTAGAGCAAAGGTTCACTCAACTTGCATACCATTCTAATAGTCATGAATGTAGGCAGCTGAGCTTTTGTGTATGTGCATCACAGAATTTTACTGAAAACAGGATTCCCAAGTGGAAATGTCCAAAGGGCTCTGCTCCCATTGCTAATATATGTATTGTGAAATTTAAATGAAAATGTATGGTCACATAAGAACAGTTTCTATCCTGTTTGAATCTGGGACTGATTTAGGTGAGAGTTGTATTATAATCAGGCCCCTGTGTGTTTTGCAATTTTGTAGATGCAGGCTACAGGTCTTGCAGCAGAATTATGCTCCTGAATTCAAGCTCTTAAACAAAAAATGAAACAGGAACAAGTGTAAATTTAGTGTAGTCTTCTTGAGTCTGCATACAGCTTAATAATAGTTCTGGGATGTCTGAATCACCAGTTCATCTCAGTGTGATGTTAACTCTGAAACCTCTTGATGAAAATTTAAATGTCAACAATAATTGTTTGCTGGTTATTTTACCAGAAACATCAGCTAGTGTATTGAATCCATAGTTCTCCAAACTTCATTCCATGCTCACTCAGATGCCAGAAGTCCCAGCTGCCAAAACCTCCAACTTCATTCTGACAGCTTCTGTAATGCAGTAATGTATTGTCAATACAAAAATCTTTTGGCATATACATTGATTTTAATATCAAGATAATCAACATGGAAGCTGTATTTTCATTTTTAAAAATGATGTGAAGCTGCCACAGAATTTCCAGTTTGCTCCCCTTAATTCTGCAGAATCCAACAATCTTATGCAAAATTTAACTATATCCTGCTGTGGAGTACATCATTATAATATCCCTATATCTGCAGAAATCACCAGATATCCCTGGACTTTGAGATTTTTGCTGTATATGTAAGTGGGTTCCTTCAGCTTCCCAGCAATGAAAGTATGTAGCAGTTAGAGAAATAAGGTCATGAAATGTCATCCAAATTTAGGGCAACGATTCCTTGTGCTTTACTGCCCTGTGGGTCCAGTAAGGTTATTAAACATTTATTTTTCCCCTGAACATTCAGGTTTTTTTCCTCCCAGATATTTCAGAAGTTTTCTGGGGACTATCTGTAAAAATGACTCATAGGGCTATATTCTGCCCTCGGATCACACCCTTGAAGCCCCATGAGCCTCAGTAGAGTTGCATGAATGCAGTGGAGGGCCCATGGTATTTGAGTTACAGTGCTAATCATTACCATAAACAGAATTTCTTCATAATGGAATCTTGTCATTGCTGTTTAGTATTCATTAGCCGTGCACAGCCAGATGCTCTCGCTGTTTGTTCCACAGTAGTGACCTTCTAAGTGTATGTATATGCATCTCCCACTTCCATTGGTACATCTAGCAAAAAGATTGAAATCTACCCGAAGTTTTCTGTCTGTTGTACGCTATACATACAGTACATTTGCATTTGTTATTAAAAAAAAGTCTCAAATTCCAAACAGGATGAATCTATTTCAGCGTTTAAAGACCAATCTGTGATCCTTATACATGACCGCGTTTGCATTACTTCTCTGTTGATCTTAGAGGGATCTTGTTTAGCTATTGTCTACATGTACGCCTTCACAACTTAAGTCAACTGCTGACTTTTTATATGCAATGTTGATTTCAGCCTTTTACTGTAAATTTGTTCTTCTCAAAGAGAATGTGCAATAGGAAAACAGAAAAGGGTAGCTCAACTTCAGTGATAATGAAATGTAATGGGTAACATGCTAGTTATCTTAAAAAAATAAAGATAAAATGCAGTTTAATTCCTCTTCCAAATTGGTTTTCCTATTTGGAAAAGGAAAGTTGAAGATATGAAATGTGCCTGATGAATCTCTCAAATGCAAGGTAATGGAGAACTGTGTTAGTTGTAGTTTTAAAGTACTGAACCCATGAATGTTAGGGTACGATTGTACTGCTCAAGTTGCTACCAACTTGCCCTGATTATGGCATGTTGCGACTGAGTTTAAAACCCACCTATTTGTTAACTGTAGTCCATCATGCTGAATAGGCATTTCACCAACAATGCAGTTTCTAATAACATTGGTGCTCTGTGGTGCAAGACAGAAAAGCCTGTAGGCAATGTAGAGAAGTATTCTGCACCTCCTGACTATATCAAATGTTACTGCAGTCTTGATGCCTTGATGTTTAACTATGCAAATATATTAATAGGTGGAGGGAGAAAAAAAATCTTAGCGAATGAATTTTAGTTACAAACCTAGTACCTTAGTTTTCACTGTTACAATGTTATATATATATTCTGGGTTTGTCATCAGGCAAAGAATTTTGACCATATAGAAGTTGTCAAAATAATCCCAGCCCCCAAATCAGTCTTCGCTGACTGATGCAAATATTTTTTGCTGCTGTTAAGGGAGACTCATGTATAGCAGCAAGCCCTGGATTCCCACATTCCAGGTATGAAGACTCAGCACACTGCACACACAATCTGCTTTGTCTCGTGGGAAGTGGGTAGCTTGCTGGATCCTTCTGAAAACTTTATATGGATGCTCCATGGAGTGGCGTCTATTCACACATCCTTCCTTTCACTCAGCTAATCAGGAGATTCAGGGTTTTTTAAAAAATATATAGTTGGTGCTGGGCAGCTCAGAATGAAGAGGTGGGGCGAAAGATTATTGTTTTTTTATTCGGGAAGGTAAGAAAATGGAAAAACAGCTAGTCCTCTGCCCACCTCTTCCTGGGATTCCTGTAGTTTACTTCAATCAATACCTCTCAACTTCTGTTGACCTAGAAATCATGGTAACTTCAAAAAAAAAAAAGTCTACCCTGGACTTTGGTCTATTTGATAGTGATTCTTAGTGCTTACTGTATAATACGTAGTGCTTTTCATTTACAAAGCATTTTACAAACAAGAACTAATCCTCACAAGACGCATTCACAATTTATAGACAGGAAAACTGAGGTAGAGAGGTTAAATGACTTTGCCCAGAGCCACAAAAGGAGCCTGTATTGGAGCCAAGGTTAGATTAGAGGTTCCTGTCTCCTAGTACTATGTTCAGAGCACTGGACCTCACCTTTTCATGTGCTTATCCCTTAAAGGAACAGAAAAACAAATGAAGTAACATATTTTAAAGACCCACAGTCAAGACTGTAAGGGCTAGAATTAAACATACGAGCTGTCATGATTTAGGGGCATGCATGTGACAGCCCACATGTCACCAAACACGGTCCTTTTCAGTTGTTCATTTTATGGTGCCCTCATTTTGGGGAATAGATTTTAAGGGCTCAAGTAGGCAGGGGGACCAAAAACAGTTTAAGTGGATTTATTTTGGTTCTGTCAACCTTTACTGTGACCCTTTCTTAATCAATTTAGCTGAGCAACAAAATTGAGGGTTTAACTGTACTTCCTGCCTTTTAATCTGAGTCTTCAAGACAGTGCCAAATGGGGGAAGGTCGAGGAGAAATTTTAGGTGCAAATTCAGAGGCATCCCTTAAATTTTGGAAGAGTTGAGAGAGACAGCACACAAGGGATCTGTTTAATCCTATTTCTCATCTAATTTAGTAGCAAGATTGTAGCTTTTGTCTTCCATTTCATGATCTTAGTGTCTATATTAGGCCACATTTTCTCCAAGTTAGGATTAGTTCCTTAGGGTTCAAATAACATCTAAATGTCACAGAGATACGCCTGATCCAATATTCCAGGATTTATGTAAATTCAGATCTGGATCCCAACTCTGTGGTTTTGGTTCATCAACCCACTTAAGCAAGGGTTTGTTGTTCGTGGTGTTTTTTTACCTTTTGGTCCTTTGGAACTAAACTGTTAATTTGGTTGCCAGTTCCACCAGGACTTTTTAACTTCTTAGCAATGCCAGTGTCCACTCGCACCATTGCTATCAGTGGGATGCGCAGTGAGAAAATTTGACTCTGTCTAAGGGTTACTGAGATAAACCAGCATTGCCATACGTAAAGGTCATTCTCCTGCATAGAGTGTTCTGAGCTTTAAATTCAGTTGTAGCTCATTTTTGAAAGAACACATTTTCCAACTATGACCTGTCTCACTGGCAGCGAGTTGTATAATCTGCACTTGTGGAATGGAAAAGTTCAGGCTTCCATCATTGCTGATGCACCATATGATCCACACATTTATTTTCCTTGTAGCTGTTGTGTTAGGGGTTATATAACTTTTCAGTTTTATAGGGGAATAAAGGGGGAAATTCAGGATTTCTTATGAGATATAAAGCTCCAATAATTTAGTGGTGACTAGGGGATGTTAATATCCCCTTCAGAAGCGATGGGCTGTAAGTAGGTCCGTTCTTCTCAGGCAAGTAGGATAACCTTTAAAACACACAAAACAACATACAAATTGGAAAAGCTAAAAGCTGACATTTCCAAGAAATTCTCTTAAGAAATATCTGTGGAAAATACATGAGTAATCAAGAAGTGTACAAATTAATGTTTATAAAACTTGTGTAACTTACATTTTATCTCATACTCTTCAGTGAATGGTACACCTGTTATGTTCAGTTTTACGATCCAAAAACAAAGACCAAAGAAGGCCAACCTCATTTGATTGTGTATATTCTGCCTGTCTTAATTATCAATAGCTGTAAGGATACAGTGCAAGTGATCTGGTAACCAGTGGTATTCGTACTTTTTTTTTTTAAGGGGGTGGGGAGAGACAGACTTTAAAAATGTCTAATTTATTGCTCAGCAATAACCATGTTGTTAATAATAATAATAATGAAGCAACATGTCTTAATTTTCCAATAGCATTATTATATGTTGTACTTCAGTTTGTTGTATACTGTGTTTTTTGGTATTTATTTGTGTTTGGAGGTCTTGCTATGTCTTTTGTGTTTTAATGCTAATACAAGGACAGTGTGTATAAGAGTGTAGAATGCAAAACTATGAAATGCTAAACTGTCTGTTATTAAAGGAAAAATAAATCTAAGTAGGAAATCATATTTTTAAAAATGAGATGTGGATTGGAATTTGAATGGCTGGAGCTTACTTACAGAGTAAAAATGTAATCTTTCACCTCCTTTGTATTCATTTATATGATGACTAGTTAGGGCCCCATGCATACATGCAGCTGATAGACCTGTATCACATTATTGTTACAACATTTACCACCTTCTCCCACACGATTCTTTGCTTTGGATTTTTATAAAATCCCAACTTCCACAAGTAAAATAAAGTAGGAAATTAGTGTTTAGTCTGACATCAAAACAATAGCATAGTCACCAGACAGATAGAGTAGAACCAATTAAGACTGGATTTTCATGCATTCATATGAAACTGCCTCCCCAGGAGGATACTGAAGGGAGAAGAGTGTGCCTTGAATTTCCAAAAAATGGAAATTATTTTTTCCTCCAACAAAGTTACTGGATTTTTGAGTTCTAAAGTTGAAACCAAAAGAAAAGCAGAGACGTACAATATTTCCAACGTGCCTGTAGGGTAACAAATTTAGATAGTCCACACAAAGTTACATGCTCTCTCAAAATCACGCAAGTTATGTTGTTGCTCATTCACATTTGAGTTTCAATTGAATGATAATGGGAATTATTGTGGTTACCAACAGTGAGGGGTAAAACATGTGATTTTTGTCAACCATACAAACTTCTCAAACTGCAATTTGCTCTTTTATCTCCTGACCTCCGGTCTTCTCCATTCCCCTCGTTCTCTCTGTCTTCCTCCCATTTCCTTTTCACTTTCTTCGGCCTACTGTATAGTCCTCACCTTGCCTCTGCTTGTAGAGATATGGGTAGAACCATATCCTACATCAGTGGTTTTCAAACTCTGGGTTGCGACCCATTAGTAGGTTGCAGAATGTAAGGCACTGGGTCACAGCGGCTCCGGTCAGCACCGCCGACCGGGCCATTAAAAGTCCCGTCGGCAGTGCTGCCTGGCCAAGGCAGGCTAGTCCCTACCTGTTCTGACACCGCACTCTGCCCTGGAAGCAGCAGAGGGACCACCGGGCTCCATGCGCTGCCCCCACCCCGAGCACCAGCTCCTCATTCCCATTGACTGGGGTGTAGCACAGTCCGCGGTGCGAGGACGGGAAGCCTGCCTTAGCACACCTGCTGCACCACTGACTGGGAGCCGCCTGAGGTAAGCCTGCGCCCCAATCCCCAGCCCGGAGCCCCCCCCAGACAGAGCCCCTTCCTGCACATCAAACCCCACACCCTCAGCCTCAGACCCCCCCTGCACCCCAACCCCCCTGGACCTGGAACCCCTTCCTGCACCCAAGCCCCTCATCCCTGGCCCCACCCCAGAGCCTGCACCCCCAGTCCTAAGTCCCCCAAACCTGGAGCCCCCTCCTGGACCCCCAAGCCCCTCATCCTCAGCCAAGAGTCCTGACCCCTCCCACACCCCAGCCCTAGTCCGAGCCCCCTCCCACACCCTGAACCCCTCATTTCCAGCCCCACCCTGAAGCCCACACCCCAACCTTCTGCCCTAGCCTGAGCCCTGCCCATGCCCCAAACCCCTCATTCCCAGCTCCATTGTCATGGGCATCAACAATTTTCTTCAACTGGGTTGCCAGAAAAAAAGTTTGAAAACCACTGTTCAGTGTCTCTCTAATTACAGCTCTGGTGGCAAGGCTATGCTCTCGGCAGCATCTATCTCTCTGCTTAGTCATCCTGTCCTATGAGGTGACTAGAGGTGCAGCCTGGAGAGCTTCCCTCATGACTCTAGCTCAGGGGTTCTCAAACTGGGGGTTGGGACCCCTCAGGGGTCACGAGGTCATTACATGGGGGGTTTTGAGCTGTCAACCTCCACCCCAAGCCCCGCTTGCCTCCAGCATTTATAATGGTATTAAATTAAACACACGGTTTAATATATTTATTAGAGGAGGTTGCACATGGAGGCTTGCGATGTGAAAGGAGACTCCAGTAAAAAAGCTTGAGACCCACTGCTCTAGCTCCTCCAATCCAGGAGTATGAAGTGGATGCTCAGGATGCTCCAATGTCACCTGAAATTGAGAGTGACCCAAGCCAATCCAGGAGGCTTAATAGATCAGCATGGTTCACCGCATAGAATATAAGGGCGGTCAGCTTCATCATCAGCACGAAGGGTATGGCTAAGTGCTGGGTGCAGTCCTGTGGACCAAGTTGGGGAGAGTCCTTTATCAACGTCATCTTAATCAAAACACAGTTAAAGGAAAAAGGCACATTGGGTGGATGGATGTGGCGGAGGATGTGGGTGAAAACGTTGACCCTTTCTGCACGCTCGCAATGTGCTTAGCTAGATCTTTCTTCCTTGGCTGTAAGGGCTGCAGCTTTGGCATCCATGGGGCAGTGCACTTGATAATGCCTCTTCGGGTACTCTGACATTCCCTGTCATGCACGTCACATTTTCCCCTTGTACTTATACTCCCAGTGTTCTGTGCATGTGCCACACAGGATCAAGCCCTTGGTGTGTTATCTTCTAACAAGTGTGACGCAACTAAACACTTATCTTTTATGTTTCTCATTCACTGATGGAGCAGATCACTCTGAAGTTGAGTCCTCGTCAACTAAGGGCTGACCTCAAACCTCTGTGCTCTGTCTAGAATGGACCCTTCTGAATGTTTTCTGTTTAGTGCAGCTTAGAAGTCACCTTCCAAATATTCTTGGTTTAAGTGGAGAAAAGAAAAATTACTTTAACCGTGATCCCTTAACATTGCTTTCCCACACACAGACACATACAGTGAATCCCATTGGGAATGATGTATAAAACTCACTGTCACCTTGAATAGCATAATACAAGAAGATACTTTCTGCAAAACAGGTCACAGGAAGTAACTTACATTTGTGTGTTTCAGAGTGGTAGCTGTGTTAGTCTGTATCAGCAAAAAGAACGAGGAGTATTTGTGGCACCTTAGAGACTAACACATCTATTTGGGCGTAAGCTTTCGTGGTCTAAAATCCACTTCATCAGATGCATGCAGTGGAAAATACAGTAGGAAGATATACACACACAGCGAGAGAGAGAGAGAATATGAGAAAATGGGGATTGCCATACTAACTAACGAGATTAATCAATTAAGGTGGGCTATTAGTCTAGTTAGAGTTGGTATGACAACCCCCATTTTTTCATGTTCTCTCTCTGTGTGTGTAGATAGAGATATATCATCAAATCTTCCTACTGTATTTTCCACTGCATGCATCTAATTAAGTGGGTTTTAGCCCATGAAAGCTTACGCCCAAATAAATGTGTTAGTCTCTAAGGTGCCACAAGTACTCCTCGTTCTTTTTACATTTATATATGGTTTCTTTCCCCAGAAGACTATAAATTATTTCATCTGATAGAAATACAATCCTCTCTCTCGGAGAACATACCAGCTGTTTAACAAACATTAAACATTACAGTTTAGAACAGGAAATGAAGAGTTCATTCTCCATTTTTACACACAGGGTGGACATTGTAGTTACTCCACTTGGAATTGGGCCAGGGTACCATGCCCTTCTCTTGCAAGAGTTGTATGGGAATTGTGAATAATGTAGGCAGTGGTCTTGTCCAAAAGATCTTGGGCAACATTTTCAAAAGCACTTAAATCCCTAAATCTCATCGACTTTCAGTGGGACTTGGGGCTTGACTATGTGGGGTTTTAAACCTGATCAAGTTAATCCAGTTTGAAAACAGGTACACATGGCACAAATTCATTACTGTGCATTAACTCCACATTTATCACAAATTCTGGTGTTCTCTTGCAATGTGGACTAGGCTTGCTTCGAATTGAATGAGACTGGTCTATTCGTGTGGACACAATTGCGGACTAGGTTATTAAAAATTCCCCTATAACTCTTGCAAGAGAAGGGCATGGTACCCTGGCCCAGTTCCAAGTGGAGTAACTACAATGTGCACCCTGTGTGTAAAAATGGAGAAAGTATCTTCATTTCCTGTTCTGAACTGTAGTGTTTAACGTTTGTTAAACAGTTGCTACGTTCTCTCTGAGAGGATTGTATTTCTGTCCGATGAAATAATCTACAGGTCTGTCGCATCTTACGCGCATTTAACATGCGCAATTTCAGCTTTACGCAGTCGGCAAAAACAAAACAAAGAGAAAAATGACAATTTTAATACTGTACCTGTAGTGCGGGCGATTCCACCCGCCATTACACTCAATGTAATTTTGTCTATACGCGATTTTTGCTTTAGGCGCTGACTGCGGAATGTAACTCCAGCGTAAGATGTATACTCCCCTGTATACTCTTCTAGGGAAAGAAACCATATATAAATGTAAATTACCTCCTGTGACCTGTTTTGCAGAAAGTATCTTGTATAAAACTCATTCTCACCACCTTGCATGTTTCCAATAGCTACCCCCCAGTGCCTTGCAGTTGGACCATTATTGACCTGTCCATTTACAGGTGTGCCCTCCCATGCTTTGGTGTCAAATTCCCAAGATGACCCCTCCACCTATAAAAGCTGGCACGGGGCCAGATTTTGCCCATTTGCTCGTGGATCGCTGTGCATTATTTTTGTAATACAACCACAGTAGTACTCTAGAAGCCAGACAACATACCTTGCACAGCCACTTGTGCTGTGCTCAGACCCCGGATCTCGTCACCATCTGGGGAGAAGTGTCAGTGCAAAAAGCTTTTGTGGCCAGCCTCCGGAATAAAGTGCTTCTTGTGGACATTACAAAGCAGATGTTTGTGAGGAACACGGAGCAGTGCCAGATAAAGAGCGAGGAGGTCAGGAAAAAGTACATTGAAATGAGGGACAAAAAGGGGACAATCTGGCAGGGGACATGTGACATGCCCATTGTTTGATGAACCAGATAGGATTCTACACAATTATAGTACTCCCTGTCCCAGACACCGTTTGGATCCTGCTGCCCACACTTCTCCCACTACCCCACTGAGGATGATCTGTTGGAAGATGAGCAGGATGCTGCCTCAGAGGAGCTGTCCCCTGAGAGACCGGATCTTTTTGGGACACAGGATCCTGACGCTGATCAGCTGGAAAGCTAGCTGCA